AGAGCCGGCTGCTGCGGCAGGGAGACCTACAGCTCCCACCCCCACTCCTCCGAAACCTGCTGACCTGCCCCGGGCCTCTCGGAGGGAGGGCCTTGGCTGCAGAGGCTGGCTTGCAGGCCAGGCCTTTTTCAGGGAATTGGAGGGAGCTGCCTCTTCGCATTTGCTTGCTCAAGTCTCTGGCCTCAGCCATTGTCATACACGTGCAGCAGCAAACCCAGCCCAGCCCCCCACCTCCTGTCCCCCACCCCCACCCCAGCATTGCACAGACCCCTCAGCCAGCCTTCCCTCAGCATTGATTCATCTTATCATCATGATCCTATTTGTCGATTTGCAGCGCTGGGGATCAAACCTAGGGCCTTTGTGCACACTAAGCAAGTGTTAGACTACTGGGTCACACCCCCAGCCCTTAGTTCCACTGGCCTTCAACTCACTCTTTTGCTCAGGCTGGTCTCAAACCCAAGAATCTAATGTCTCAGCCTCCAAGAGCTGGGATTACAGGTGTGAGCCACTGTGCTGGGTTCAGGAGGGCCTTACTGTTTTTGTATGCTGGCTTTCTTACCCAACCTGGGCCTCTCTATGGACAGACTTATGGATTTCTATGTGCTTATAGAAAACTTAGTAGATACTTTCGTGTGTGTGGAAAGAAATAAGATAGAAAAAGAGAATAGATACAGTGAGAGGTAAGAAGTTTGGTTTGTTGCAGTCCTGTGGTTACTTGCGAAGTGTGATGGGTCTCTGGGTCTCCCCACAGCTCCTGCGGCTGAAGCCTGGGGGGAGGGCTGGCTAATTTGGGAAATGGGATCAGCTGTATTGTCCTGTCAAGACCCTAGGGATCCAGGTGTGGGGATATGAAGGGTGACCCTGTGGTCAAGGATGACCCAGAGTTCACTGTCTAGGAGTGACTTCCCCCCAGCCCACCCTGGAGGGTATGATGGGTGTGGTCAGTGGGAATAGATCAGAAGTAGGCCAGTCCAGCTCTCTCCCTCACCTCTCAGGCTGCTCTTCACATCCTTAGGGAAAAGGTGATGGGCAGGGAATACTGGAAGATTGGCTACTCAAGCCAATCAGAGCAGCCTGAGGCCAGACCTCTGCCCAGCTCAGGCTCCATCCCTGGTGGCCTGCAGAGGGGGCCTTGTGGACTGGAAGACTGGTCACTAATCCTAGCTACTCAGGAGGTTGAGATCTGAGGATCACAATTCAAAGCTAGCTGGGGCAGGAAAGTCTATGAGACTCTTTTTTTTTTTGGGGGGGGTCCGGTCGTGGGGCCTGAACTCTGGGCCTGGGTGCTGTCCCTCAGCTCTTTAGCTCAAGGCTAGCGCTCTACCACTTGAGCCACAGCGCTACTTCCGGCTTTTTTCTTATGTGGTGCTGAGGAATTGAACCCAGGGCCTCATGCATGCAAGGCAAGCACTCTACCACCAAGCCACCTTCCCAGCCCCTCTATGAGACTCTTATCTCCAATTAACCACCAAAAAGCAGGAAAAAGCCAGAAGTAGAACTGTGGCTCAAGTGGTAGAGCACCAGCCTTAAATGAAAAAGTCAAAGGACAGTGCCTAGGCCCTGAGTTCAGGCCCCGATACTGGCACACACACACACACACACACACACACACACAAGACTGGGTGGTCATGGTCATGATCCCCCTTCAATATACGGGGATCATGAGAGAGGCAGTCCAAGGCCCTCTAGAAGGGAGGGGCCTACCAAGGAACTTTCAGGCTCTCAAACAGCTTAGGAACAAGCTGGCCTGGGCCTAGGCCTGGTCTCAGGCAGGCTGAGAGGCCTTGTCAGGGGCTAGAAGACCCCAAAAGGGTATGTGGTTCTCTTGGTCATGAGATGCTCAGGCAGCCCAGCCTAACCTCCCCATGACTCAGTTTCCTTTCTGTCACTCAGAGCTCCTTCCTAGGCTTCAGTGGTGATGGAGGAATGGGCTCCAAGCCCTGCCTGGTTAGATGTGATTTGTTATTCTGAGGTGTGTTTGGGTGGGAGAACTCAAAAGGGCTGAAGAGAAGACAGGACAATCTGGAACCTCAGTATTCCCCAGCACGGTTCGGAGAGTTCTCAGCTCCATGGCGAGGAGTGAGGCCCTGGGAAGGAGGCTGTGGAAGGGATGAAGCCTAGTGAGGCCTTTCTCCAGCATCCCTGAAAGAGGAGGGGGTAGCATGGTCAGGCTTTCCCCTTCTCTGCCCCCTCTCCCTCACCCCTCCTCATGGGCTCAGCGGCCTCCCCCAGGAACCAGCCTCCCCTGGCTGCTTGTTTGTCTATGTGTAATGAGGCTGTGACAATTTCTCTAAGTGCCGCTTAGAAATGTGTCACTGCCCATTTCCCTTTGTGGTATCGCAGGAGGCTGCACAGCCGCTTCTGAGCTAGGGTGGCTCTGAGCAGCTGGAACATGGTTTATGAAATTACAGGGAATTCAAAGCAGCCGGCGACGCCCGCTGTCTGGCTTCATTTCTGGGACTGGCCTCCGAGGGAGGTTTATTCCAATCATTTAGAGGATTAGGATCTGACACCCTTCATTAGCAACTTGACATAAACAGAAAAGACAGAGCTTGCTGAATGAGCCACACGACAGGAAGGGGCCTGGCTCAGAGGGGAAGCAGCGGACACCCACCCAGCTAGGAAGAGTCTATGCAGGAAGATTGTGCAGCCTTTTACAGTCCAATTAGATGAGGAACTGGGCCTCAGCCTCAGTTTCCCCATCCATGAATGGACAAAGCCGTTGAGGAGCTTAAAGGACCCTACCACCCTGGGGCCTACCTGTCGTTCGGCCTGCTTCTTACATCCTGGGTGACCTGTCCTTGCATAGACTCCCCCTCTCTCTTGTGGGGCCCTGACCCCCCTCTCCCCCTGACCACTCCAGCATCAAAGGACCAACACACACGTCCAGCTTGCTGACTCTTTTGTGACATTTTAGATACAGGCCATTTCCTGTCAAATGGGGGAGAAAGTACCCTTGGTCTCTGACAGTTTCTACCTCCCTTCTTCCCAGAGCCTCCACAAATACAACCCCTGACTTTCAAAATTTTCTTGTTCAAAGTCAGGTGCTGGTGGCTCATGCCTGTCATCCTAGCTACTCGGGAGGCTGAGATCTGAGGATCGCCGTTCAAAGCCAGCCCGGGCAGGAAAGACCGTGAGACACATATCTCCAATTCATCACCAGGAAACTGGAAGTGGTGCTGTGGTTCAAGTGGTAGAGCGCTCACCTTGAGCTGAAGAGCTGAGGGACAGCAGCCAGGCCCAGAGTTCAAGCCCCACGACCGACAAAATAAGTAAATAAATTAAGAAAATAAAAAATTATTGCCCATTCTGTACAAACCAGACCTGAGTCTATGCCTTGACAATATTTCTGTTCTTGTTTCTGTTTGTGTGCTGGTCCTGGGGCTTGAACTCAGGGCCTGGTTGCTGTCTCTGTGCTTTTGTGCTCAAGGCTCTACCACTTGACTCCACTTCTATTTCTTTTTTGGTGGTTGAGTCTCAGGGACTTTCCTGCCTGGGCTTGCAGATCTCAGCCTCCTGAGTAGCTAGAATTAGAGATGTGCTTGGCCCTTGACAACATTTCTATTAGATAGATGGAGGAGCAATGGTTTCCAAAGGCTGCTGCCCACACCCAGCAAGCTTGTATCCTTGCCTCCTAGAGCTGTGTGACTTAGGCAAGCTGTGTAACCTCTCTGTGCATCCTTCTCTTAAAGCTAAAATGTGCTGTGAGGATTAAGGGAGATGAGGTGTTGTGAACGCCTTGCCACTGATATGATTACTTTTGTGTACTGGGAGCCTGTCAGTGGCTTGTGTTCACCCATCAGAGCATTTTCTCTATGGTGGGGCGGGGGTGGGGACACAGGAGACAGCAACTATCCAACGCCGGGTCCTCAGAAAGCGCTCACAGAGCAGGCCCACCGTGGCCATGGGCAAAGGCAGCTTGGCTGTGTGGCGCAGCCGGGGACACAGCTGCCGAGGAGGTTTTCTTGGAGCCAACAAGTGTGTTGGGGTGGGGGGGGGCCGAGGAATGTGACAGGTCCCACAGGCGGGAGCCGGAGCCGAGCCGATCTGGTATGTGTCTGGAATGATTGGGGGGTGGAGGGAAGATCACCAACATCGGAACTGAAGACATAAATGGCCCGGGGACCCAGATCTGGAGGAGGAGTTGTGGGTGTGCACACCCCCTCCTTCCAGGGGGACCGGGTGCTGGAGTGGGAGTTGGCTTCCACAGCAGAGCCACGCGCTGCTGGGCCCGCCCTGGAATGGCCGTGAACTTGTTGTTTTTCCACGTCATTTGCTCTGCAGTGTACGATGGCGCTGGGCGACGCTAACCCGGAGGCTCAGGTCCCTCCTTGTAACAAGCGATTGTGTGTTCTTCAGGGGTGGCTGAAGGGGAGGAGGGGGCCCAGCCCGGGGAGGAGGGGGAAAAGGAAACAAACCCTGCTTTGCAGTGAAAGTGAGCGTGCGTGTCTTGAAGCCAGCTCTCCTCCAAAGTCCAGGCCATTTCTGGGCCCTCGAAGGGGTTAAAGGCCTCCTGGAGTCAAAAACAAGCAGGTGTCCCACCGTGCCAGATACGCTGCCTAAACTACTTCCAGCTCTTTTTTTTTTCCTCCCCCCCACCCCCGGCCTTCCCCCCCCCCACTTCTGCAATAAGTCTGTGATCGGCCACGGGACAGAGGCGCCGGCCGCCTGCCTGTCACAGGCGGCAGGTTGGCTCTCTCCCACTCGGGTGGCGCGCCCAGGATATCAATCCAGGTTCGGTGGGGGTCCTGCTGCGGCTCCTTCTCCCTGCACACCCAGGAGCGGAGTTGCCTTCCAAAGACCTTTCTTTTATCTGGAGCCGCGCAGCCCAGCAGGCTGGTGGAGGCTCAGACAGCCGCTGCTGCTGCTGCTGCTGCTGCTGCTGCTGCCGCCCAAGCGAGGAAACCTGCTGGGGTGCAGAAGGCAGGGGTCTCTAGCCCTCGGAGAAGAAGCCCCTGGTGTCATCCAAGGGGACGTCTCTGGCCGTTGTAGCCCACACCATGTGGGCCTTGGGGTGTCGTTGGTTCTGGTCCCACTGGGGGCTGCTGCTGCTGCTGCTGCTGCCCTTGCTTGGGGTGTCTCCGCGAGGCCTGGCACTGCCGCCCATCCGCTACTCCCATGCAGGCATCTGTCCCAACGACATGAACCCTAACCTCTGGGTGGATGCTCAGAGCACCTGCAAGCGAGAGTGTGAGGCAGACCAGGTGAGTGGGAAGCGGGGAGTCCGAGATGGACCACGTGAGTTGTGCGAATAAGTGGAGGGCAGTGGGGGGGGAGATAAGGGGGTGTGGGGATGCCTGGAGATGAGCTGCAGGAACGCAGATGAAGGTTCCTGAGCCCTGTCTGCCTGGAGGTAACTGTCTTGAAGCCTGTTCATTACTGCAGAGGGCCTGGATGAGGAGGGACCATGACTCCATCCTTAGGCTCCTCCGTGCTGCTATGAGCCAGCCCTGTGCTGGCCCAATGGTGCAAATTGGTCCAACATACCAGTACAGGGGCATCAGCCACCTGCTCACAGGGGATACCCAGAGCTGTACTGTGGCCAATGAGGGACCCCTATCTGACTGGCACCATCCAGCCTCCAGCCACCTCCCCAGGGTTTGGATTTTGACCCAGAGATTAACCGGGCTGACAGGTAGGCTGAGAAGGAGCAACTGTGGTCCAGGTGTGCTGGGTGTCCTCAGAGGGAAGCGAGCGGGGCCCAGCCCTGTAGACTCTGAGATGCTCCTTTCTCCCCACTGACTGGTGCTGGCTGAGGACAGGGCTACTTCTAGGGCTGTTGTCCTCCGGCTGCTGAGGGGAGGCAATCTCTGCAGGCTCCTGCAGGGCAAAGGACAAGTACTTCCACCTGCTCTGGCCACAGTCCCTTTCTGCTTCACCTGGCCTCCCAGGGCTCCTGATATGATAAGAGCTAGGCCTTGCCGAGGACCCCTGGCATCTCCACAGAAGAGCACAGGACTTCCATGGAGAGAGCATCTTCTGTCTCATGGGGCTGGGGACAGGTCTCTGGCCACTCAGGACACATCAGGCAGTGCTGTAGACAAGAGGATAAGGAGCAGGGAGGGGTGGCGGCTCTCCCCATTGGTTGAGCTCATGTCGCTAGTAGGAAGTCTTTCCTCACTAGCCCAGACTGGCTTGAGAAATCAGGCAGCACTATGTTGGAAATGAACTTTACAACTTTGGGAAGGGTGGGGAGGGAAGGGATGGTAGGAGAAAAACAAAGAAGGGGGTAACAATGCTTGATAAGAAATGTACTCATTACCTACTGACATAACTGTAACCCCTCCGTATAGCATCTTTACAAGAAGTCAGGCAGGATAATGACACCTGCTGCTGATGTGTCTTGGGGAGCAGGTACCCATGCGGGGCTGAGGATTCATAGTCTGCAAAGTCCCAGTTCTAAGCTGAATGGGGGTAAGGGGGCAAAGCACAGTAAACAAGTGAGGGGAGTCAGGCTCCCCACAGCCCAGTGGAGATATTTCCTCTTCTGAGCCGGTATGGAATGCCAAGGAGACTGAAATGAAAGGCCGAAGGACGAGAGGCTGGTCCTGGTAGGGAGTCATTCATGGAGTTATTACCTGGTGCCGGATTAGGAGGGCTGCCCGGCTGCCCCAGGGTACGACGTGTGATTGTGGAAAACACCACGTGAAATCGTGTGTATGCCGGCTCCCGGTGCGCATTGCTCATTTGGAGGAATTAAACTAATGTCTTATGTGGCTCCATAGAAAACCAGCAGGGGTTATAGACGGAAAAAGCCTCAATGACTGTTGATTTTTGCCACACAAGGGGACTTTTGTCTTGTTACTTTCTTTGTGAAATGTCCCTCACGGAGCTGGTCTAGTACAGGCCACAAGACCTGGTTTTCTTGGGTCTAAGACACCCTGCTGTCCTTCAGAGGAGAGGTGTGGAGAGACTTGAACTTGAATGTCTGCCCCAGAAGCAACTCCTTCACATTGGCCAGATAATCTTTACCTCAGTGTGAGATGTGGGAGGAGGTGGCAGATTAAATCTGCAACCCTAGGCCTCTTTTAGGTAACCAGATGATGGATGATGTTAGGATCCACCTCCCACACAGGCAGAGAACGTGAACCTCTTTTCTACCACCTTCGTTCTCTGCAACATGGGTGTTACTTCTCTGTATTTTTGTGAAGTGGTAGTAAGAAAACATCCTATTGAGTGATAGTGCATGCCTGTAATCCTAGCTACACAGGAGGTAGAAGTTGGAAGATCAAGGTCCAAGCCTGCCCTGGGCAAAAGCATGAGACCTGATCTGAAACATAAACTAAAGCAAAAAAAAAACAAGGTCTGGAGGAATGGTTCAGATGGCACAGCACTTGTCTAGCAAATGTAAGGCCCTGAGTTCAAACCCCAGTACCACCACCAAAAGAAGGAGGAGGAGGAGGGAGAGGAGGGGGCGGCCCATAATCCTAGCCTTAGGACCTTGGTCCTCTTACAGGACCTTCCTGTAAGAGGAAGGTAAAGGCTGCACTCTTTCGCTCGATAGGAGGTAGGAGTCGATCCTTTCTTCCTTGTTCTGTCTCTGTTGAGAGTTTTCTTGGTTCTCTCAGGAGTGTGAGACCTATGAGAAGTGTTGCCCCAATGTCTGTGGAACCACAAGCTGTGTGGCAGCCCGTTACATGGACGTGAAAGGGAAGAAAGGCCCAGTGGGCATGCCCAAGGAAGCCACGTGCGACCACTTCATGTGCGTGCAGCAGGGCTCCGAGTGTGACATCTGGGATGGCCAGCCCGTGTGCAAGTGCAAAGATCGCTGTGAGAAGGAGCCCAGCTTCACCTGCGCCTCGGACGGCCTCACCTACTACAACCGCTGCTACATGGACGCCGAGGCCTGCTCCAAGGGCATCACGCTGGCCGTGGTCACCTGCCGCTACCACTTCACCTGGCCCAACACCAGCCCTCCGCCGCCCGAGACCACCATGCACCCCACCACGGCCTCCCCAGAGACCCCGGGGCTGGACATGGCAGCCCCGGCCCTGCTCAACCACCCTGTGCACCAGTCAGTCACCGTGGGAGAGACGGTGAGCTTCCTCTGCGATGTGGTGGGCCGGCCCCGGCCGGAAGTCACTTGGGAGAAGCAGCTGGAGGATCGGGAGAATGTGGTCATGAGGCCTAACCACGTACGTGGCAATGTGGTAGTCACCAACATTGCCCAGCTGGTCATCTACAATGCCCAGCTCCAGGATGCTGGCATCTATACCTGCACGGCCCAGAATCCTGCTGGGGTGCTGAGGGTTGACTTCCCCCTGTCCGTGGTCAGGGGGGCTCAGGCTTTGGCCACCTCAGAGAGCAGCCTCAATGGCACGGCCTTCCCCACGGCGGAGTGCCTCAAACCCCCCGACAGCGAGGACTGTGGCGAGGAGCAGACCCGCTGGCACTTCGATGCCCAAGCCAACAACTGCCTGACCTTCACCTTCGGCCACTGCCACCGCAACCTCAACCACTTTGAGACCTACGAGGCCTGCATGCTGGCGTGCATGAGCGGCCCGCTGGCCGTGTGCAGCCTGCCCGCCCTGCAGGGGCCGTGCAAGGCCTACGCGCCACGCTGGGCCTACAACAGCCAGATGGCCCAGTGCCAGTCTTTTGTCTACGGTGGCTGTGAGGGCAACGGCAACAACTTTGAGAGCCGTGAGGCCTGTGAGGAGTCATGTCCCTTCCCCCGGGGCAATCAGCGCTGCCGGGCCTGTAAGCCACGGCAGAAGCTGGTCACCAGCTTCTGTCGGAGTGACTTTGTCATCCTAGGCCGGGTCTCTGAGCTGACGGAGGAGCCCGACTCAGGCCGTGCCCTGGTGACTGTGGACGAGGTCCTCAAGGATGAGAAGATGGGCCTCAAGTTCCTGGGCCGGGAGCCACTGGAGGTCACGCTGCTCCACGTGGACTGGGCCTGCCCCTGCCCCAACGTGACGGTGGGGGAGACGCCGCTCATCATCATGGGGGAGGTGGATGGTGGCATGGCCATGTTAAGACCTGACAGCTTTGTGGGCGCCTCCAGCACCCGGAGGGTCAGGAAGCTCCGTGAGGTCATGTACAAGAACACCTGTGACGTCCTTAAGGACTTCCCGGGCTTGCACTAGGCTGGCCTACCCTCCCTGGCCCTCTCCCACCTACCCAAACCCCAGGGCCCCTGTCCACAAACCAGGCAAGATCAGCTTAGTCTTGGGCCAGCAGGGAAGCACCAGGCTACGTGTTGGAAGAAAGCTACCCAGTGGGTCTTAGAGTAACTTCTAGTGTTTTGGTTTAATGAGGGAGGTGTGTGTGTCTCCATCTCCTTTTTGTTTTAGCTGAGGGGGCCAAAAGGAGATGTCAATAGACACAGGTAAGTTGCTCCTGAGGCCCACTCTGCTCAGGCCTTCTCCTCCCCCCTTGCTGCCCCTCCCTCCATCCCCCAGCCATGGCTCCCCAGCCAGGGGTCAGCAGACGGCTGGGAGATAAACAGTTGGATGTGTTGACTTGTAAAGCAGGTGCAGGTGGAGAGACCAAGAGCCCAGAGACCCATCAGGATAACTTTCCTCCAGACTCCCAGACCATTGTGAGCAGAGGCTGCTTCCTGTCAAGGGCTGTGAGCAGTGGAAAGCCAGAGGCATAGTCCAGTCAGCGAACGGCACGTCTTGAGCGGAGGCTGCCAAGGACAGGTGCCTTTGGCTGTGTCAGCCTGTGTCTCTGAGGCTACATGGCACACACAGTAGAATCCATGCTGCTTCTCAGCTGCACGGGCTTGTGGGTTTGGTTCTGTTGGATTCCATCCAGTGGACTCTTTCTGAATACTTCTATGTATCAGATGTTGGGACCTGGTTCGAAGAGCCCAAACACAGAGCCCTGATCCCAGAACCCCCTCTCTCCCGCCTGCCCCCACCCCCCCAAAAAAACCCCAAGAGTCCTGGCTGGCTATCCAGCTGTCAGTTTCCATCTGATGGCTGATTCAGTGACTGCTTTAGACAGACATTAAATAGATGTCCCAAGATGTGTTTTGGTAGTAAGAGAAATAAAGAGAAGAGGCAGGCAGGGGCGGGGTTAGTGGAGGACTGGAATAAGGGGAAAGGAAGATAAGGGGAAAGGAAGAGGCATCTAGGGAACGTGGGTTGCTCGATGCTGCCATCTGGTGGTGGTCTACAGAACCGGCAGTGACCTGGAGGGAGGCTGCAGGTGGGGCCCGGGAGGGAAGGTGGGAGATGTTGCAGCTGGTTGATTTTTGTTTCTAGACTCCTGTGTGGGCCCAGGCACCCCACCACTAGGAAGAGGATTTGGGAGCCCCACTGCCGATTCTGCATCTGTCCCCATTCTCTCAGCCCTCTGTTCTGACCTTGCCTCTCCAAAGCCAAGGATGGCCGTGTGGGGATGGGGGAGGGGTGTTCTTTCTTCCTTGAATATAGGGAGGAAAATGCTAATTAAAAACTCATATATCAACCGCTTTTGTGTGGTTCTTTTGGGCTGCTGTGGGGAGCTGAGGGAGGAACAGTGGTTGTGACACTTGCTCTTGTGACCTCGTGTCCAGTGGGGCCACATTTGGATGCTGGAGGGACACTGTGAGTTCTATAGGCGTTCGGCACAGCTCAGAGCAAAACTGGAGAAATCAGAACCAGCCAGGCAAGGAGAATGGGAGGTAGAGGGGTGGAACTCTGGCCCGGATTTGCAACCTCAGTGCTCTCCCTCTTCGAACAATGGGGATGGAGGTGTCGGGTACAAAACCCAGATCCCAACACTGATGTTTCAAGAGGTGAGAATGTGAAACCGACCGGGCAGGAGGGAGTCCTGCCTGGCTATGATTCCCCAAGGGGGCCTCAGGGTGAGGCCTGGTCCCTGGAATGCTCAGGGGCCTGAAACGGTTCTGCGAATGGAAGCAGCAGAGCTTTCAACCTTAGGGAATGTCATGACAGCTCCACACCCCTGGACAAGAATCCAGGGCCCTGAAAGCCATGGTCCTACCCCCCCCAACTTGTCTGTCCCCTCCGTTTCGCAGGGGATACCGCACCCTGCAGTTTTGCTGTGGCCACGACCCAAAGGAGGAATCCAGGCAGCCGCACTCACCCACGAAGAGGGAACAAAAGGTGGGGAATGAGAGCATCAGGACAAGCTATTCCACAAGACAGAAGTGAGGCCCAGGGAGTGGGAGCTCCTCATAGCATTACAGGAAGACACACAGCACAAAACTGAGCCACCAAACTGGCTCATGGGCCCGTCCCCTCCTGGGCCAGGTGACCTGGCGACCTGGAAGGTTGAGGACTGTCACCTCCCCCTGCCTCGTTTGTGTGTATATGGGACCAGGATAATAGCAGGGCTGGTACAGCAGGGCTCCAGCTCCCTGTTCTGCTTCCCTGGGGAAGGGGAAGGTTCTGGATGCCACCCCTACTGCATCAGACTGGCAGAGCCAGAAACCATCCAGCCCACAGAGCTGGAGACTGGCTCTGCCACTTACCTGTTCTCCAAGCCACTGTCTTCACATGTAACACAGATGGCAAGAGGGTAATTTATGGAGGCCTGCGGCTCCAATCATTCCACAGGTAAAACTGGAAAGCCTAAACAAATTGGAGCCTTGTGCAGAGACAGTGGTTTTCTGGGGGCCCTTCTCGACCAGCCCCAGGGCCCCAGTCTCTCCTCCCCTTGCGCTTCGAGACTCTGACCACAGCTTTCAAGGCTCTATTCTGTGGTTCCCAGAAATCTGAACCGAGTACCTCCCCCAGCCTGATTCAGAGCTCAGATAACTTGGATGCTGAAAGAATGATTACAATTTCTGACCTACTTTGTGACATCAGTTGTGTGTGTGTGTGTGTGTGTGTGTGTGTGTGTGTGTGTGTGTGAATGGTGGGGTTTGAACTCAGGGCCTGGGCACTGTCCCTTGACTTTTTCACTGACTTCACTGACGGTTGGCACTCTACCACTTGAACCACAGCTCCATGTCGTGATTTTTAAAAGGAAAAAAAAACTGCTGGGTTGGCTTGGACACATGATCCTCAGATTGCAGCTTCCTGAGTAGCTAGGATTACAGGTATAAACCACTAGCATCTGGCAATACCAATTTTTATATCTTCAAAACTGCACATCATGCTGGGTGCTGGTAGCTCATGTCTATAATCCTAGTTCCTCAGGAGGCTGAGATCAGAGGATTCTGGTTCAAAGCCAGTTTGGGTAGGAACCTCTGTGAGACTCTTATCTCCAATAAACTACTCAAAAAAAAAAAAAAAAAAGCCAAAAGTTGTGCTGTGGCTCAAGTGGTAGAGTGCTCGCCTTGAGCAAAAGCAGCTCAGGGACAGTGCCCAGGCCCTGAGTTCAAGCCCCAAGACTGGCAAACAAAACAAAGCAAAATAAAACAACTCATCATCTTTCATCTCTATTTCCTGAGTCTGTGACAATGTCTGGCATCTATCAGGTGCTATCGGGGCTGAGAGGAGGCTCCAAGTCTGGGTGGCCAGACGGCCTGTAGAAGTTACCCACCTCTGTCTGGGAGCTTTGGCCCCAGCTGGGTCCCAGCACATGGATCCTAAGGTCTCTGCACCAAGGTTAGGGTCACCCACCTCCCTGTCCATGCTGCCTGCTCATCCCTGGCCTTTCTCAGGTCCATTTGGCTCTGTTTCCCCTCCAGTCCCTCTCTCTAATCCCTCTCTTTTCCTGCTACCCATTCCATCTCGCCTGTCGCTGGACCAGCCTGCGTTCCCCAGGCAGAGCAGCTTGGCCGCTTCCCCTCTTTCTTCCACTCCCAGTCCCCAGCCATGGCCTCCCAGGACACTGCTCCATTGTCCCCCTACCAGCCTCCTAGGACTCTGCTCCATTGTCTGGCCAGCTGCTCTCTGGTCTGTCGTCACCCCCTGGACAGTAGGCTGAAGAACAAGCAATCAGGATGGAACCTGACTAGGGAAGAAGAATGACAGTGAAACACAGCCTCATGGTGGTACATTTCCTTTGTCTGGGAACTTCCTCTGTCCATCTGCCCTGTTCTAATAAAATCCGCCTGAGCAAGGGCTTAAGATATGACAGGCCCCAGGCCCCATCTTTTGTCAGTGAGCTGTGACTGTGTGAGGCAGAATGCCATTTTGTAGGTGGGAGACATAAAGCTAGAAGAGATAAGAAATGTGCCCAGGATGTCATGGCTGCAAAGTGGCAGAGCCGAGGTCTGCATCCTGCCAGTCTGACATCAGATCTCTAAATGTTTGTGCTATTCTCCTAATGCGTGGAACACACACACACACACACACACACACACACACACACACACACACACACACACACACACACACCTGCTGTGGACTGGGCAGTGTGAAGCCACATCTGGACATCAGGAACCCACATATCTCGGAAGGACCTGTGTCCAGTCAACCAGCACACATTCAGGGCTGTGTACATGTCACGTGACATCACACACATGCAATCTTGGCCTAGATTCCTGAGCGAGCCCTCAGCCTTGTGCCTACTCATCCTTCAAGACTCAGCTCCTCGGGGCGCTTCCTCCATCCCCAGGCTGCCTCAGCCTCATCTCTAAGTCCCCATCTCCCTGTGTGTGTCAACCGATCCACATCAGAAGAGCAGCCCGGGGACGCCAGAGGCCAAGCCCACAGAGGTCATGGACAGTTTGCCAGATGGAGCCAGGAGGTGTTACTGTACCAGAGGATCCACAAGAAGGGGCTGCTTCTAGTGTCTTCTCTCCTGTCCCCAGATCTACCTTCAACCTCTCCCTCCTCCTCTTCCCTCACAAAGAGTCTGAAGCCTCCCTCCTCCTCTAGGGAATGTGTGATTAATGCAGGCAGGATAGGTGGCAGGGTTCCTGGGTCCTATTCTTGGCTGTGCCCTCATTCTGGAATGTGCCCTGAGGTCAAGTGACACTGCTCTCTTGGGCTGTGTCAGGAGGAAGATAGAAACAAGCCTCCAGCTGGCATCTCTCGCAAGAGGGTGGGCAGACAAGTGAGCAAACTTACCCAACTACCCCCAGAAGCCCTCTGAGCCCCAGCCCCCAGCACTGCTACTTTAAGGTCAAGTTGATGGCTCTGTATTCAGGCGCCAATTAACCTGGGACATGCAACCTTGGCATCCAAGTCTTCGGCAGCATTGGCCACCCTTGGAGTCCACTCAGAAGGAGGGACAGACA